TGGTTTCCCATTGTTAGGAATTTAAAGCAATGGCACTTTTTTGTTTGTTTGAGGTAGTCTAGTTTGCATAATAGTATATTTATTATAAACCTTTGCACAGAGAGAAAAATTTCACTATTTAAGTTTAAAATAAAATAATTCCTCTTTGAGGAGAAAGAAAGAGTAATGAGTACAATATGAGTGACTGTAGCTTGAAGAATCTACTTTGAATATGAGAAGGAATAGAAAACAAATAAGATCTTTTCATAAATGTCTGTTACAAGTTGTCGTCAATTTTTCACTTTATTTACTCCTTGCAGGCAGTAACCCTACTCTTCCTACTCTTTAGATGTTATTTTATATTGCTAGTAATAAAGAACAAGAGAGAGAGCAAACCACATGTGACAGATGGTAAAGGCACACTTAATGTGCTATTGGGAGAACTACTGCGGAAATGAGGACTATTCAGGACCATACAGTGGAAAGTTGTACATTACACATAGGAGGACAAAGCTTTTCTGATTTAAGGAGGTGTGAATTTAGCCTAGCTCCAGATTAAGCACGGATTTCTAGAAGGAGGTCTTGCAGGGTTAGAGATCTGCAGCTAGATGCTAGAAAGAAGGTGGTGAACTATGAGAAATACATGCCACTGACCTATTTTGCAGCCCACCCCCTCCCTAGCAGCAGAGATTCTGTCACTCAGATGTAGTCATCAGTTTTGGCACAGTTCCTCCTGAAACCTCAGGATTCACCTTTAAGGAGGGAGACTGAGATTTCTGCCAGCTAGAGGCAGCTATTTTGGGTGAGGTTGAGGCTGCTGGCAACCCATAGAGATGGTTTTCTTTGGTGGCTGGGTGTCTATTCCTGCACTACTCCTTTTTCATACTATTTTTGTGCTTGAGCAGTGTGTATCTGAATAGCCTCTGAAACTGTGTAAGAAAAACTCAGCCCTGATTTTGATTTTTGTAATTAAACTAGATTTGGATGAAGAAGAAAATGAGAATATAGATAGAAAACCTAAGGAAAGTTTTCACTGGGAGCAGTTAGTATATAGGGTCTTTTGTTCATATTTGTTTTTCCTGACATGGACATTAATCAATTTCCATTGCTTGGACTAATTTAATGTCAAGTTTACTTAATTTTGTTTAATGTACATATTTTTTAAATTATAAGGGAAATTCACACAAATTGAATAAGAATTTGTCCTCCTTCCTGAACCCCACCTATTTTCATGGTAAGCTGTCCAGGAAAATGGCTGTATTTTGCTAAGTATTTAGATACAGTTTGATGGAGTAGGTCTGATCTCAAGCTGGACCCTAGACACTACTGTAATACAAATAATAAAAAAGATTTTGCCAACAGAGAGGGTATGTATATATTTATATATGAGGATTTCTCTCCCATTTTTATTCTTTCCTTTAGAAGTTTAGAGGGTTCTTTACTAGTCACTCAAGTACTAAATATTTAGCATCAATTCATATGAAAGTTGCTTTGATCTTTGTGTAAATAAACAGGCTCTGTTTCCCCCATAGGACTCTTTCTTGAAAATGATTTCTTTCATCAAGTAGTTTGTTGCATCTCTGTGAACATCAATACTGCTTCCATCAGAACTTCAAACAAATATTTCCTGCACATTTACAGGAAATATATTAAACACTATAAATGGCAGCCTGCCTTGCACCTGATTCAATAGTTAAAATGTGGCATGAGCGATGGAGTGACACCGTGCTCTTCTGGCATCATGGCAGAAAAGTGTCATACATGGGATGTCTTCTATAGCAATGTGAACAATACATTTGTAGATGTAAACACCTCTTCTTTATGCAACCTGAATGTTTAAGCATTGATGGTACAAATCTTGCAATTATGGTTTGCCTTTGGTTATCGATAATCATCCTGGAAAGTCCCAAAGAACAATAAGAAAAACTAAGATGGTAATTCAAGTGCAGATCTCTTATAGATGGGAAGAAGGTAAGCAAAAAGAAATGCAACAAACTGGGAAGAGAGGGAGAATAGAAATCCCATCATGGGGTTAGTTTACCTCTGCAAAATTTTCAGCAGAGTACGTGTTCTGTCCCCAAAATAGGTTGCATTTTCTGAGGCTTCACCTTTGTTACATGTGTAAACTTGTGTCCAGAATCTGGTCTTCAGTATCTTAAATGAGGTATATTCGGCAGCAAGCCATAGATGACTCTAGAAAACATAATTTCAAAATGTGAGTGTTTTCTGCAGAATAACTAATTTGTTGAGTCTCTGAGAAAAAAATAAGTGGTTTTAATGAGTGATTGTTTTCCCAAGCTGTCTTCCTGGAACTAATTTGTATGATTGTCCTCTTCACCTTGTTATCAACTCTTCAAATTTTGACTTATCAGGAGGATATTTTGAAAGTTTTCTGTAGACATCTTGCTTTCTTATAGAACAAACCAGCCCTCTGTGAAGCCAATTTTCATAGCTTTACTGGCTTTGAGTGCTCTTCTTTGCACTTAGAATGCTCTGAAATTATTTTAATTGAATCAAAGTCATAAATTATAATGTCTGGGAGACACTGCAAAGTAATTGTTTCTCTTTGTAATATTTACATTCTAACTCAGTCATCCTCTCCAGCATCCTGTTTTGGAACTCCATTTTGGCCATGTAATTCATTCACTTCACGATCAGTCAAGGCTCTGCTATATAATTCTAATTTTGTTAAGTGATATGAATATTGAACAGCTGAGGTTTATTATCTTTGAATGAAAGCACTCTTTATTCTTCCTGTCTTAAGACTCAGTTAATATTCTGAATAAATACACAGTTTCCAAATAGGTACATAATTGGCCTTTAGTTAATTGTCAGCCAAAGAGATTAGGGAAACTCAAGCCTGTTTGATCCTGCAGATCATTTGAATCTACAAACAATTTTGGTGCTTTCCAGTTTCTCTTCACAAGAAGCAGCTTTTTATTTGTCACTGTCCAAAAGGGGAAGTTCTCTAATTCCTGAATGAGCTGAGACACAGAGAAAACATGCATGCTTTTACAGCATTTACAAACTTAACAAACACAACTTATAAACCTGCACTATTTCTAATTCTAGACTATGTAGATAATTTCTATATTGTCATATTAATTCACAGTTTGATTTCAATGTTTAGATACTTTATATTACTTGGACAATGAATGACTAATGGATCCCTACAGCCTTGACAACTAGACTAAATCCTCAAAAGATTGGAAAGCCGTGGAGACTAGACCAATATTGGCTCCTAGTCATCAGTCCAGGAGTAAGACTTACATAATGTTGAACCCATTTTGAAAAGGGCTGTACCAGAAGGCTAAATGTGCTATTCCCAGACAGAATACTAAAAGAGAGTAGAGGCTGACATTTTTTGGATGGCCTGTCTTTAAAGCAGACATATGCATTCATCATTATTTGAATCACCAGTAAATGGAGATAAGACTTCAGGACTGCTGAAGGAGTATAGTGGGGTTATCACAGCTGAGCAATAAATGAGACATTGCACTATGCAAATACTCTGTTGAAAATCTGAAGATTTTTTAGCACATATAAGAGATTTAATGGCCTCAAATACTGTTAAGATCAAAGGACTTTTCCCACTGTGGCAAAAAGGGCAAAGAAGCAACTGTTGATCTGCTCCCTCTACCCCCTGCCTGAATATACCTCCTGGATTCCCAGAATTTGGATGTGAGTTAAGCCACCTGATTCGAGATAAGATAAAGGTGGTACTGTTATCCAATTATCTTAGGTTTAAGGACAATTAAGCCTGGAGGAGAAGAATATGCCCACAAGGAAAGGCAACTCAGCAGCTGTGCCAAAAATTATCCCTGTCTGGGTCTGGCAGACGGAAGCTGTAGCTCACTGACTCAAGATGTGAGGTCCAACTCAAAAAGGGAGGAAGACTGAGCATGGGACTTAATAGTATTGGAAGCAAGGGAATAATTTAAACAATAGGATAAAAGAAGCATTAGTCAATGAACATTAATTTCTTTGCTAAAATGTATAAATGGTGGGAAGATTTGAATGACCTTGGGATCCCTGCTACTGAGAAGACCAGGAGAACCGACAGGATGTCATCTGGATCCAAGGGTGGTGGAACATTTTCTCTTAATCTGTCTCTCTGATATTATTTCTTTCCCTGCTCTCTTTTTTTCTATTTCTTTCTATCTCTCTCTAGTACTCATTAATTATTATATAAAATCCATACTATTGGCTTCAGCATATATTTCAGTCTTGTTTGCACCTTAATTCAGGCAAAGTCATCTCTCTAATAATTGTAAAATCAGATTTTAACAGCGTGTTATAAAGTCCTGTTCCCTAGAGCAATTAGAATTTATAAACATTGTCTCACTGAAACACTTGGAAACACAGACCATGATGTCTCTTAACAGTCTTGTGATTCATAAACTCTTGAATTTTATCATGAGCAGGACATAGCTCTAGAAGAAGTCTTGGGCTGATCTAGGAAAATAATCCCAGTCTTCCTACAGCAGTGTATTTTAGGGCCTTGATATCATTCTGCAGTCTGTCTCACGAGTTTTGGTGATAGCAAAAGTAAACATGACCTCACTTTCTAGAGTTGTGTAAAATGTAATAATGAAAGCACATATCTATTAACTTGTCAGTTCACAATCCCTCGTTTTAGAAACAATCCTGATAGGAAGCTGACATACTGACATACTTGACATTAACTTGAATGTTTGGAGTTCTTTAATTTTCCCTCTGATGAGTACTTTTAAAAATCTGTGTGTGCTATTTGCTCATGTTGAAGTCTGTGACTAAAAATGTATGTCACTAATGGTATTAACGTGTAATCAAAAGCATTGTCATGGTTTGGATTATGGTTGGTTAAGTTCCAGAGAGAGTTTTGCAAGCACTATCACTGTACTGTGCAATCTCATTTATCAAAAGAACATTGTTTGTACATTTATTAAATAAAAATATGATATGACTGAAAAGTTTCATCAATTTTGCCTTATATTTCTTTAATTTCCACTGTTTTTTGTTTTTTTTTTCTTCTTCTACAGTATTCTCCCAGCTGCTTCTGCTGACCTCTGAGTATGAAAACAGTTTCAGGCAGGTAAGTAAAATGCAGTGAAGATTTACTTTTCAGAAAGACATAGGAGTTGGGTTTATTATTTGGAAGTCTTTAACTAAAAAATTAATCTGTTTAATTTTTCAAGCTCTTCTTTGCAAAAAAACCTGTTTTTTACACAGTAAATCTCCAGTTAACCTGGTTTCTGAGGCCACTTAACCTGCAGCAATTACACTGATGGGCCAATGCTGTCTCTGGGATAACTCTATTAAGAGCAGTTAGATTACACCATTTTTGGATTACGTTGTGGTTGTTTTATCAATAGCAGGGGAAACAATTCCTCAGTATACTTCTGAAAAGATGCAACTTTCTCAACATACTGGATGCAGGGAATCCAAAATGGCAACAGTTTCAAAAATACATCATGAGAGAGGGAAAGAACTCCCACTTTTCAGTCTCCTATGTCCCTGCTGGTCCCTCCCTCTCCTAGTGACTTCTCAGTGCCCTCCTTCCTCCTCCTCCCCTGCTGCTGTCAGCACTGAGAAGTAAATGGGTCAAGCCAGTGGGTCACTGATGGTGCAGAATGAACCTCACCATGTGTTGCCATGAGCCATACAGGATTACATGCTTAAGTTTCTCAAAGCCTGTTTTATAGGCCCTAATAGAAATCTGCTCTTGATAAGACAAAGGAAGGAGTGAGCCAGAAACAATGTACATATTTTAAAGATGAAGATGGTTTTCCACTTATAGATGTAAAGAAAATATTGTAAAGAAAATTTCTAATGGCAGCCCTTCTGAAAGGACTTTCAAACATGTTCCTTTTTTCCTTCTCTATAAAGAATAAAAGAACTCTCCAAAGTCCAGCCACTCACAGATCAGGATACTCGTACTAAAAGGGAAGGAGATCAAATCTTTCACATGTTATTTGGTGTCAGCCCCATCACGTTATGTAACATGACTGCCTTGTCACAACATAATGCACTGGGGAGGAATGACAAAAGGCGTTCTTCACAGCTACATTTGGAGAAGCCACAGCACTTCAAACAGGCAACTTAATCTATTTTCTTGTTAAAGGACTTGCTCTAAGGACAGATTGAAAATGTGCTCTTTTCCCAACTGCATCTGTAGAAATACACACGTTCTTCAAACATCATATATATGAGCATCATAATACATAATGTCTTTACACAGGAAAGAATGGCTGAGTATAGGTGCATACGTCTTTTTGTTTCTATGGGTTAATATAACAATCAGGATGGTATGTACAACGTATGAAGTTGCACATGCTTAATATCTATGGATTAACTTTTGGGATTACTCTGAGTGTGGTGATCCCTAGTGCAATAACTGGTTTAATAGTTTCAGTTCAAACATTGAAGTTTCAGCAACTTATATTTCAATTGCTGTCATCACAATGTGAGAGTGTTGCAGTCAGCAACCTCAGGATCTCGTCCAGGGAAGCAGCAGGATTCTGGGGACCAGCATGAAACACCAACCGAGACGGGCTCCCGTTCATGAAACCATTTATTCAGCATGGGAACAAAGTCAGGTCCAGAACAGAGAGCCCTGAACAGAGGCACAGCAGGGGTTTTTGAGGGACAGAACTCTCAAGGGCCCCCACCTTTGAGGATGCAGTTCAGGGTCAGGGACCAGTAGAAGCACAGCAAGGGAGAAACCCCCAGGGACTCAAACCAAATCAGAGCACCTGGGCCACCCTTCACAAGGGGTTTGGGGTGGGGCAATGTAACTCTTTGTCTCCCCTGAGGCCGCTGCCACATGAGAGCATTTGTCAGTGGCCATTTTACCTGCCCCACAGTTCTTGTCATAATGGTGACAACTTATTTTCCTGATCCATCAGAAGCCCGCCCCTGACCATTCTTTTCTGAGCAACTTTGCCCTCCCCTTTTTCTCACCTGTTTTACCTACCTGTTCTCTATGCTCTTCTCAGCAGTCACTCTGGATCTCCTCTCCTCAGGTTTAAAGGCTTCAGTAATGGCCTTTGTGTTAATTCCATGCAGTACGTATCACAGAAGTGAGATGAGAGCATTAGCAATGGAGGCTGACTTGAATCTACATCAGGACTACAACACTTGAACTTGGTTTCATCTAGTGCTGATGTACTGAAGAGCGCCTGTTCCTTGGCAGCTGCATGGTCTTGTCACCTTTCACTTATCTTCCCAGCAGTGTTGTGTCCTTTGTCACGCTGAACTGCCGTTTCTGGAAATGTCACCTCCTCAAGCAGAACAATTATGGGTATAATGTATCAGTGCCAAGAATGAGTGATTCAGTAATTCACTGGTGCTTGAAAATGTCAGTTCTAGAAATACTCATGCTTTCCTTAAGTTCGATTGTGGCTCAGGCATGTTAGTCCAAAAAGAAGGGACTCGAAAAGTGAAAGAAACTAGGGAAATACAGAAAATTCTCTATCGTTGCCTTCCATCACTATCTAAGCCTTAAAAATACAAAATACTAGAATACTTGCAGAACATTTTGCTTTTGCTTTTGAAGAGTGAAAATTAACTAAGTTTCAATTTTTAGTTTTTTCATCACAAAGGTCATTTGACTGCAGGCAAGTTGTTTACGAGACTGAAGCTCATTGCTATCAAAGTGAGTGATTCAAATAACATAAGATCAAACCTGCTTGTTTATTTTATATTTCAACTAGTTTAGATTCAATGCTAATTTTCTTTCCTTGAAACTTTGAAATCCTTTCGCATTAAGAAATTAAATTTTAAAGGGAAGATATAGTCAGTGGTCCACATTTTAGCTTTCAGTATGACTGTTAAAAATAAAAATATAATGATAAAAAAATGCCTCTGTATTTTCTTTCTAACTTGAGGGGAGGGAAGGGAAAGAAAAGTCAATACTTGGCTGGAATCATGAGCAGCTTGTTGGCTGAGTAAATCAGTCAGGAGCCCTGCAGCTGGTCAGCTTCACCTCACTGATAAATGTCACAACTCACTGCTGTCAATATGAATTACCAGGAAAGGTTTCCTAGGAACTAAGGATGAGGGAGCTGTTTTCCTTTGAATTAATTATATGGGCCAAAATAATACTGATATAAGATTAGAATAGGCTACTCTAACTAGGCAATTATTTAAATGAACCCTGAAATCAAGACACACCATGGAAAATATTGCAGGTCAGGTTAGGGAATGCAGAAAATTTGCAACTTTAACAAAAGCTTGAGAGATTAGAACATGTTAAATTGCAAAGCGAGTTTGCTTAGGATTCCGTACTAGGAAAGGTATCCAAGGAATTGTGAGCTTTCTATGTAAAATGAAAGGAAGGCAAGCACTCTTTAAAGTTATTCCAGAAAGATTTCTTCCCAAGTCACTCACAAGGTGCTATGTGCAGCTCCAGCAGACTTCCTCGTGGGAGGGCACATGGGCAGCTCCCCCAGCACAGCCTGGTCCCACCACCTGCACTCTGGAGAAGGAGGCACCCACTGAACGCAGGCATTTTGTGTTGTCCCTCTGGAGTGGAAGGAGGACTGTGAAAACAGACAATGGTCCCAAATTCGTTTCAGTCACAGAGAATAAGGAGCACCCGCCAATCTCTGAGCCGGCTGGGCGGTGAGCACGTCTGACATTTGTTACCAGAAATAACAGTGAGTGGGTAGCTGCCTCAAAACAGAATAATGTGGATTTTAATCGCTTCTTCTACACCTTGTCCTCATGTATTGTGTGTTATGCTGCACCCAGTTGTTGCCATTGGACCTGACAGGATGTTGACATGGCAACATGTTATTTGGGACAAAACAATAAAGTGGTAACAAATGAAAAATGCTATTTTTATGTATCTGCAAAGCATATGTCCATATACCACCAGCAGTCACTATGCTGGTCAAAAAATTGAATTCCTTTTTCACAGAAAATCTGGACATAGAAAATAAGATGTTATGATCACAGATAAGGAAAAAAAAACCCATAAAAGACCAAAACAAAAACCTTCTTGCAAAGAGGAAGACTTTCTGAAAACTGAAATGGGACATTTATTTTAACTAAAATTCTTAATTTAGCAATGATGAATTATTTTCATTTCAATAATACCAGCTATTTTTATTCAGTGTGACAGAAAATAGAACAGAACAGGGTAAAAATATATTTAAAAAGGTGTTTCTATGTCTTTTTTTATTCTGAGCACTACCTGAAAAAACTCATAACTAAACAAAATGTTCACTCACTCTGAATGTTTTATTTTTAACACAGTTTAAGAAATACTACTGTATTATTAAGGATACAAAAATAATAAGAATCAGATGCATGATTTCTAAATGAAGACTGTCAAAGGCTTCAAAGAAGATATGTAAAAATGAAACATTACAAAATCATTGTAAATTTTCTGAAAAGAATTCTTGGTGGCATCAACATGACTTTGTGAAGCATTTTGATTTTGAGTGCCTTAAACAATAGAAAATTGTCCTGTCAAGTCTTTCAAGCAACCCTCTATATCCTTATGTAAAATATGGTAATGCACTTAACATTTAATCCAGCATACCTACTTAAGCCACACATTTCCCTACAATATTCAAATCAAACACCAAGTCAGAAAGCATATTTCCACTTCATTAAAATAATGCTTTTTGACTTTATTCAAATGAATCAAGGAAATAATAAAGTTTTAGGCTTTCTTCCCAATTTGAGCACCAAAGTGGACAAGCACATTATTTTGATTATAGCAAAATTTCATTTCTCAGTGCAAATAAATGTTCCAGCACTGCATTGAAGAAGATAACAAAGGATGCAAAAAATAATGTGTAGTAAGACAATTTGCTTGACAATATATCAGGTTCTGGTACACTTAGGCCATTTCCTTAATTATCTATTAAAACTATCTGGATACCACCTTTGATATGACATGGAAATAAGCAAGATAAATTATAAACTAGATATGAACACAGTTTTTACGTAGTGCCCTGGGGCATTTCTCTGCTACCATATACTACTACCAATTCACTGCTTCTCTCTGTTATTTCTGGGAATTTAACAGTCCAGTCAGAGGCATAGAACCACTTGGTCCAGGCTGGCACCCCTGAGCACCTGGCATATGGCACATGGGGGTTTCTGTAGAGAAACATGAACACTGGCATTCCCCAGCAGGTGTCAGGTTCTTTATGGTCCTGCAATAGAGCATGCTGATATACCAGAGATGCTGAAGTATAACAGACAGAGCTCATTCCTTCTCAGCAGAATCAATGTGTGTGCTCTGTAGGATGCCAAAGTCTTTATCTCCACCAAGTTTTGCAGTCAGAAAAGCAAGAACTCTGTCTGCACACTTCACTGGCCCATTAGATGGTAGCAGCTACTCAGCTCCTCCTTTTCAATTAAATTTGCATCTACCCTGACCTGATAATGCAAGGTATTTAGAAAGGGATTGTAAAAACTACTGAGTAGGCAAGTATTATGTTTCCTTTGTGCTGCAAGGTAAACAGAGCATACATGTTAAGCTTGCTCAGTATTTTGGCATGTCTATAAATCACACTACAGAACTTTTAGGCTGGACAAGCTGTATAGCTGAGTAGGAAACACCAGATACTCATTATTGGAGAGCTTTGGAAATGTAGTGCTTTATTCAGTTTCTTTTAGTTTTTTTTTGAAACTAGGAATATCTAATCTTAGTAGGAGATCAGGAATATGTAACATTGGTTAGCACCTGGTGTGATGCTACATCAAGAAAAAACAAGAATGATCCATAGCTGAAAGATTTTTTTTTTTAATTACAAGTTTCAGCTTCTTTTCTGTCTTTATTCTGCTCTTTCTCCAGCAAAACGCTTATTCCCGCATGTGCATTTATACAATAACCGTCTTGAGAAAATTCTTACTCCAATAATTAGCCTGTTGGGAAATTAGTTTTATGGAAGCCAAGGATACTTCCCTGCATTCTAGATGACAAGGATACTTTTTTTGGAAAGATATGTCTACAAGGCATGTGCAGGACAGGCATTCATGTCCTGATGTTGCAAACCATCTCTGTGGAACCACACCAAAAAACACCTATGGGAAAAGTGTTTGTGAACTCAGAATGTGCACTGCTTTAGGAGTAGGGAGAGGAATTTTTGAGGACAGGTATTACTATGTTCCATTCTATATTTCCATTTGTTTTAAAGTAAGGTACCTTAACTTAGTTATGTAATAATGGAAGTCAGTTCAGGATCCTTCCCTTGTCTATGCTTTTTATGATCTACTCTTGGGGAATGTAATCGCCAAAAATCTTTTCCTTATACTCTTCTTAAAAGCACAGAAATGCTTTTAGCTCCTTCCAATAATCTCATTACTAAAGAAAATTGTATTGAAGAAAAAAGTTAAAAGTATAAGAGTCTACTTCCAAAACATGAACACACTTGAAAACATATTATCATATTATCATGACTGTTATTAGGAGTGTATGAGCGATAGTAACCTGTTTGATGGATGCCATCCATATTTCTGTTTGTAAATTGCTTGTGGCTGGTAAAATTCCTTAGTGTATGTTCTGGTTTCCTGTGGTATAGAGATAATTTTCTTCTTCATATATGGTACAGTGTTGTGCTTTTGATTCCGTATGAGAATAATATTGATATCAGACTGATGTTTTAGCAGTTGCTAACCCTAAGTCCAGGATTTTCAGTTTCTCAGGCTCTGCTAGGGAGGAGCTGGGCAGGAAGATGTGAGGAACCATGGCCAGGACAGCTGACCTGAACTGGCCAAAAGAATATTCCACACCACAGAATGTTGTGCCCAGTATACAAACTGGGGCAGCTTCGTTGGGAGATGCCAGTTTCTACTGGGGGACAGGCTGGGCATTGATCAGCAGGTGGTGACCAATTATATTGTGCATGAATTTTATTTTCTTGGGTTTAATTATTGTCTCTTTCTCCTCTTCTTTACAATTATTATTACTATCATTGTTATTTCAATTACTATTATTAGTATAATTGATATATTTTACTTTGTTTCGATTATTACACTCAGACCATGGTTGATTCTCCTCCCCCCTGGAGGATGGTGAGCAAGTGGCTTCACAGTGCATAGTTTCTAGAGGGAGTTAAAAGACAACAATGTATTAATTTTCCAAAATATTGTAAATTTCTTAAGGATTTAAGTCAATATTTTTGATTAAGTCCCAATGAATATCTTGCAAACACAAACCTGAGTTGTGTAAGCTACAGTATGTGAATTACAATGTTGATTTTAAGCAGTCCAGTTTTAGAAACACTTGCAAAATATTTTGATTTTCTTTCATACTTTAAATCCCATTTTGGGGAGGGAATATTTGTATTAACTATATGAGATTCAAATCGCCTACTAACTATTTTTTTAAAAAGTACCCCTTTATCTCTCTTCATGCACCAATAAAGAATAAAAAGTAAAGAGAAAGAAAAGTATAAAAACATAAAACTTTCTTAATGAGACATAACCACAAAGATAAATTATGGCAGTATCATTTTCTGGCTCAATGGAAATAACTGTGTACTTATTGTGGTTTTTTTCTCATTTTTGATTAGAGGATTATAAAATGGCTATCACCAAAGTAGAATTCAGATCTAATGGGCTAACATTGAATTAGATATGCTGTTTCAGACAAGAGAGAGACTCTTCTCTCTCTCTGAGCCTGGCTAGTGTCATTAGGAGCTGTGGAGAATGAAGAAACATAGCAGAGACAGACAGGAGCCAAGCAGTAAATTGACCCACTCATCTCCCTTTTGGAACTCTCCCAAAGAGATTTTATTTTATGTGACAAACATCTCCACTGCTCACTTGAAGGTCAAGTGACTGATGATGTCTCACCAGTTTCCAGCTCCTCAATATTTAAGAATTTCCAGTTTATGTTATCTGTTCCTTTTCCCTCCACATCATCAGTTGTTCTCTTTCAGAAGAAGTGGGCAGCAGAAAAATACAGCTACAAATAACAGTCTGTAAAAGTCCATACATACTCCATTCTTACAAATTTCAATCTCACACCACAGACAACAAATCAATGATTCACCCTTATGCAGAATCATTTATCAGCAATGTCAAAGTTCCTTGGTCTGAACCCTTAGGTACACTCTTGGGGGATTACAAGGATAACATTCGTGGAATTGACTTTACATGAAATAAAAAGCAAACTTAGATTCTCACCTTCTCTCGTTCCTCTTTCAGAGCGATATTCACAATGAAGAGAAAGGGAGCAACCTTCACATATTTTCAGTGGGAAAAAATGTTTCCTTATGTACCTCTTTACAGGACAGCCAAGTAGCAGCCAGAACCATCATCGCTTTTGAGGGTCCTTGAGAAGTGCAAACAGATATCTATGAGTAAATTACCAAGATAATGCCTGGATCTGAAGTAAAACTAGAAGTCACAATCTCTAATCTTTGGACAGTAGTTATATCCTATTTGCTAATTATCCTCTCCTATCACATGTCATGTCTAAAATAAGAGTGACAGGGTCTGATAAAAGGGAAGTGTAGTTTTCAAGCAGCAGCTCTAAAGATGTGGGTAAGACCCCTGAGGATGTTCTCAGAACAATGAGAAATACACAGACAATGTGTGGCACCTCTTTTCCAGGGACCACTGTAAGGATGGTTTGCTGAAGGCCACACAAGAATCACAGCACACATTGAAGGATAAAGCAATGGGACTGTACTGCTTTCCACATTACATTACCACTGTGCTCACCAAAACATACAAATGTTCTAAGTATTAAAGATACAAATTTATGAGAACTACAACTTACATTAACACAGTAAGAGATCCCTAGACTCATAAATACTAAATACCAATCATTGCTCTTCACATGTGCAAAATGAGAAGATGTTTAAATAAGTACCTCCTGTTAGTTATCTCTGACACCTCCTAATGAATAGCCATTTTTTTACTGCAGAATGGAGAATATGAATGTTACAAAAAACAATCCTGTATCCACGCTTCATAAATTTTACTTACTCATTATAACTTATTACACTTTCATAGAATATTATTATGACGGCGCTGTGAAAGCCGGGTTAGGTTTGAACCATGAGTCAAAATATGTACTGCTTACAACCACCTGTCATTCCCACAGAAAATGGTCCATTAACATCAATCCAAGTTGACCATGCTTCTGATTTTGCCATATGAAAATACAGAAGTTGGTGAACACAACAGAAGAAATTAGAGAGGAGAAACACGAGGAGTACTTATTTGCTGGTTTGTCCATGCTCCTTTTTTTCAGCAGCCACTCCTTCACAAATCATGTATCTCCAAAAAAGGACCCTGATAAAGAACACCTCCCTCCACCTTGTAATCTGAAAGATCTGCATACCTAGCAGACAACACTGGAGATGTGCTTGGCTGCTACCGCACAGATTCCCCTGCCCCTCCACCTCCCACCAGCACTGAGGTAGGTTAACTGATGCTGCCATCTCTTAATCTTATTTAGTCTCTTACCTGCCTGCTTGCTATTCTGAGTTACAGGGTTAAACATATAACCTGGGTGTGTTTGCTGTATGCAGTTTTAGAAAGCTGGCCTGAATTTCTCGTAATTCTTCCTTCAGCAATGCTACCAGTGACAGGAAACGCACTTGGCCTTCCAGACAAGTCAGAAGAAATCAGTGAAGGATCAATCTACGCAAAGGTATTTTGAGATGCTGCTAATATGAAAGAACTTACTAGCATTCTAGCAATTCTTTTATTTCCAGAAAATAGTGTGCGGCTATTTCAGTAAGAAACATGGACTTCTGTTTCTTTTAATTTTTTTAAGGATATGGTTGCAGAATAACCGGTCAGATATGCAAGGAGAGATTTCTGCTAAGAGAAACATGATGCAGATTCTACCTGCAGAGAAAGACTCCATTTCAGCTGACACAGTGTAGCTTCTGCCAATGAATCATAAGGATCCTGGGCTCAGGAACAATTGCAGCAAAATGCAATATTACATACTGTCCAGTGAATGAAGATGGAGGAATCTATACCTGCCCTTGTATCAATCCTGCCTTTGATTGATCTGCATCTCAAAGTTGCCACTTCATGAATTTCACAATTAGGGTTTTAACTTGTTCTTTGAATGTGCATTTAAGTTTCTTGCTGATGTTGCTGTAGAGGTTGTTCTCCTAGTTTTCACTTTTGAGAAAAGTCTTTTGTCCTTGATCCAGGTAAGGCGTCTTAGGGGTAAAGAAAATTTATCTAGAAGTAGGAATCAGACTCAAGGAAGTTAAAAGTGAATATACTTTCTGAAAGAATTGATTTTGTATTTAAACTATTGTGACAAGAAGAGCTTTCATGGTTCTTTTCCTCCTTTTCTCAAAATTTCCTTTTCAAGATGGTACATCAGAACTATTACTCTTAAGTGATCATCATTCTCCTCTCTTGACTGATATGTTTCAGGGCAATTTGTGCAAAGGCCTCACTGTGGACTTCCTGTAAGAGTACAAATTGTCCCACTGATTATTTCTTTGTGCCTGTTTTTGTGGAAAAGTAACCTGCTTTGGGAGAGAGACACACATCCTGAATATGTTTGTGATTGAAATTTTCTAGGTATTTACATAAATGAGATGTTAGACTCCATTCCTTCATCCACCTTTTCGCACTTCCTTTTCTGTTGCTTTTTTTTTTCCCAGAAAAAAACCAGAGAATTTCAGATTTCTGTCCTACTTCTCCCTCAATTCATCAAAGTCTCATATCCTAGCTTTTATATTGACTGCTCAGACCATTGTTTCTTGAGACATGCTTCTTGAGACTGACTTACTTTTAGGATTATTTTTTGTTTAACATGGAGAGACAGAATTTGTCCTGTCCTGTAGAAACATCAGTCTAGAAACTTCTGGTTTATATTACTAGAGCTAGGAACTGGAGCTATACTTTGAGCTCAAAGTAATCCATCTACATTTGATTTTTCAAAGTGAAGGTACTGTCATATCTCAGTTAACATGCTGACAACGGACAGAGGAAGAAATAAGAAAACACTTTTGTTTGTTTAAATGTGCACCCACCTATACACACAAACTTATCAAAGTAACAGAGGAGGAAGAAGGAAACAAGGCATTTTAGTGATACTTTGGCTCCCCCTTCTAACTGAAACAATTTTCAGTACCATACCACTTCCTGCAATATAGAAAATAAACTCCATTGCAATCTCTCATAACAATGAAAACATAACCAAGTTACAACCCGAAACAAATGTTTCTTCAGGAAATATGTATAAATAACTTTTTTTTTCCAGTTCACTAGAAAATAAAAAATACTTTTAGTTTTCATGCAACTGGTAAAACTTACTTGCTTTGAGAAACAAAAGAGTTTTACTCTAATTTTGGACAAAATATTTATATTTGAATGGTTGATAAAAACCCACTTTTTTTTAATCCAAAGATAAAAAAACTTTTTTTTTTTTTTTTTTTACATGAAGCATTTGAATTTTGAGGGAGTAAGATTTAGATAGTTTGTTAGATTTAAATTATCTTTGATATATTCAGTCTTTAGTTTTGTCACATTTTTTCCAGCCAAACTAGCATTGCCATTGACCTAGGAAATTGTGTTTAATGTTGGTTAGAAAGTAAATTTAATAGGAACCATAAAATCATTATGGTTGGAAGGAACTTCAAAGAGTCAGAGACTCCAATCTTCCACTCAAAACAGCATCTGGAGAGTCACATCGGCTTGCTTAACATTTTCTCCAGTCCTTCATAATCCTCATAAATTTCTAATCATAATCTTCATAAACCTCTAAAGGTGAAGATTTATCAGCCTCACTGGACAACCTGTTCTGTTACTTCACTTTATCAATAACTTTCTTGTACTTAAACCCTGGTACAGCGTTCTGTATTGTCTAACAAGTGTCAGGTAAATAATCATTTTCAGTGATAGCCTTGACGCCCTCTGATGAGTGCGGCCCAGGATGCTGAGAACCTGCTTTGCTGTCAGGGCACACTTCTGGCTCCTCTTTAGCCCAGTGTGAACCAGCACCCACAGACCCTGTTCAGCAGACCCACTCCCCAGCTGGCCAGTCCGCAGCCCATGTTGATACAGGGGGTTAATCTGTCCAAGGTAAACGACCTTGCGCTTAACCTTCACGAGTTCTTTATCGGCCTATTCCTCCAGCCTGTCTAGATCCCTCTGGAAGAAAACTCTGTCCCTGAGCCCATTGACTGCACCTCTCAGTTTGGTGTCAGCTGCAAACTTGGTAAGGGTGCACCTGATCTCCTCCAGGTCATTGATAAAGATACTGAACAGGAACAGTCCCCATACAGACCCCTCTGTGCTTCACCTGTAATCAGCCTGCAGGTAGAGTTCCAACCACAAACTACTCTCTGTAGAGGCTGAAAATCCAGCTATCTGGTAGTTCCCTCATCTAGACCATAATGTCCTGACTTAGTTACTGAACCTAGTGCTGTGCTAAAACCAAAGTATCTGCTGCCTTACAGTAGTTCACAGATCTAATAATTTAATCATACAAGACAGTCATCAGGTTGGTCAGGCATGGTTCATCTGCTTCATTTACTGCCAGATATTCCAAATCACCTTCCTCTGCTTCATAAATCCATAAGTGGCTTCCAAGAGGACTTCCTAGATGTTTTTTCCAGGGCCTGAGGTGATGTTGACTGGACAGGATTTCCTTTGATTACATTTTGGGCCATTTAATTAATATGGGGAGAACATGTCTTCTTTGGCCATTGGGACATTCCCTGAACTCAACAGTCTTTCAAAAATAGTTGAGAGCATCCTCATGATGCCAATAACCAGACCTCTCAGTGCCCTTGAAATATCCCATAGGGATTGCCTAAGGGGCATCTAAATCAGTTCTGTTCTGTATTGCTGGAAGCTTTTCTACACCTTTTCCTGGAGTAAATTTTGTTAACAAAATCCAGGGCATGGAGTACCTTAGTCTTATCTGTGTCTGCCGGAATTAAATGAGTTGCCCCATTCAACAGCAAGTCTATGATGAATAAAAATTAACAAACTCCATTTGATGAAGGAATATAGTATTCTTCACAGGTAAATAGTAAAACCCACCAAGAATAGAAACCCCAGATGCTCCCTCTGAAACTTCATTTTTATTTTTTTAAATAATCAGGATAAAAGATATAAACATTTCTTTAACTACTAATGATAGGACACATTTATTCAAGACCTTTAGAAATCTTTTTACTAGCTAACAAATGTGACTCATCTGGCTAATTATTAAAGTCACAATTTCTGTGATGTCTAGGCTGAACTGAATTCACTAACTCTTCTTGAATATGCTTATGAAAAAGTGGATAAAAGTGAGGAGATGGAGGAATGCTTCCAAAATCCACCATAATTCTCTATTTCTACATCAAAACTGAAAAATGAGTGAGAGTAACTACAGATGTTCTAAGTGAAATATATTCCTTTTGTGACTTCAGAAGGACTTTCTAAAACTCAGGTACTATTGTGGCACTTGATTTTAAAAGGGGAAAAGGAGTGTTGGGACAAAGGCCCTTTCTTTGTGACATCAAACTGAACACTCAGAGTCATGAGATTTTCAGACTCTTCTCATAGCAAAATTGATTTTGATCCTAAAGGCCACAGTGTATATTGTTTTTCACTGATTCCTGTACCTGAAACTTAATGTGGCAACAAAAGACTTCCTAGTTTACTTTTTAAATATGCACAATTTTCTGGTCTCCAGAGTTAAGAAAAGAGTTCCTGAAAACAAATGAGCCAGGCAGTTTACAGAAGAAGAGATGGAGAAGAATGGATGAGCTACTCACCTTTATTTAACCTAATGATTTTTAGATGAATGATAAAACTTCTTTTGGGCTGACTCATGAATTTTGAAAGCTTGAAGTTTGCGCTACTGACACTGACAAAAGTGTATATAGCTGACTTTCCTGAGACAAATGGAAAGAGAAATGGAAAGCTACTGTTTTAAGCCTCCTACAATTTCTATTAGGCATCCCTGGTAGAATAATTACTCCATATTTTAATATCAAAACCTTTTTTTAAAAGTGTATTTTCAAGAAATATAATCATAGGATTGTTATTTGCACACAGTAGCTCTTTAAAATCTTTGCATGTAGTTAATAAGGTCTCCTGTAAACTGGCTGTTTTTACACTTTGTGTCAAGTATTATTGGAGCTACCTGTCTCAGGGTGCAACTTTTGAGAGTTTTGTAGTTCTGCCTGGCTCAAAGGTACATTTTGCACCTTTCACACGTTCTGAGGCAATAATACCGTAAAGGTCATAAAGACACTGCAACAGATTTCAAATTCAGCCCTTACATTTTTTTATTTTAAACTCTTCAGAAGCTTTTAAAGTACTATGCAACATATGCATATATAAGCAAGATAGAGCTAAAAACCATGCTGAGATTTATTGTAACCAATGCCTAACACTTTCCATAATCCAGGATAACCTGCCACCATTCCTATGAAATAGTTTCTTTTCCCACTTGAGGAAAAGTAATCAGTTTTTCTGCTGGAAGAACTATTCCATGTTGAAGTTTACTGGATGTGAAATTTACAAAAGGATTCACTAAAAAATATAAATAACATGAGTAAGGTCTATTAATACAGTGGAATGGAACATAAAAAAGGCATAATCCCACCTTCATACATTACCCATTTTTTCAGAATAGTCAGGAGCAAATCATCTATCAAGGAGATGCAGAGATACTAAATATAGAGTAAACCTCCTTTGGAGGTTCTAGTATTGAGCAGCATAAGGAGTTTTCAGTATTAAAAAACTATGAATCATTCTCCTAAAAAAATATTTCTTCTTCATTATTTCTTATTCATTATGGGCCTTTTTATAAATGCAGAAAGCACTCAAAAATCCCAGAGGTAAGCCAAACAACCCTGCTGACTGTCCTAATTAGATCTTTATAAAAGCAGATTCCATTGCCTTGATTTTTTTCATTTCCTGGTTATGCAGCTATGGTGCTTAATTTTTAAGGACTGCTTTGGGCATTACATTTAAATATATTGTTGTTACAGAAGGTTTCTCATTGTCTTCTTTTTTTGGTACTGCTTTTGATTTGCCTGATCAAATTTGTCTTGAATTTGAAGATGGTAGACTGTTAGCCATGATAGACATTCAATGCAGTAAATTTGTTGGGTACTACTTTATCTGGAATCTTGAGTGTGGTGATCCTGTTAAGCACATGGTTGATCAAGGGCGACACTTTAAATAAGATTATAAGGCTAAACTCTTCTTGATCATGAGAGAAATAGAAACGCTACCCTTGCTTATTCTCACAGGCTACAGCTTTGTATTAGTTTTATCCCTAACAGAAAGTTCAGAAGTTTAACTTGGAAGTTAACTTCTAAATGAAATTTGTTGTCCATAGATTTTAAAACCTCAGACTAAGTTATAATGCTGACCAGGAAAACTCTCTTTTTCCTAGTTCCTAGGGAATATCTGTGTTAACATACACTACATCAGCTTTTCTAAAGCTTAAAATCATGAAGATGAAAGTTTTGGGGTTTTTTTTTTGCTTCCATATCAAGCACTTAAAACATCATTTACTTATGGAAGACTGGCAGACTGATATTTTACCTGGCTAACTGACAGCTCTCCTTCCTCTCACAGGCATGCTCACATCTCAAGAAAAAGATAAAATCACATATCTACCATTCATCTATCACTATAAATCAAATGGCTGACTGAACAACAGAAGACTTGAATTTTCCAAACCCTACACAAACATCATCTGATGCCCTAAATCACCAGAAGGATACAGGCATGATTTGATTATAGAATTATTGGTCTACTTTCAGCACCTGCTCTGGTACTGAGCTGAGGAACTGGAGTCTGAAGCCAAGGATAAAATATTATTATGGCCATTGGTCTTGTGCTTTCCTCTTCTTCCTGGCCTCACAATGAATGTGGCAATGATGCTCCATGCCATAAGAAGGAGCTGCAGATGAAGCTGCTCTGAGACACTTTTAGTTGATACTCTGGCTAACCTGGAAAGTAGGAATTAAAAAGGCTGCTCGTGGTTATATTTGTGCCCTCACTTCTGTATTGGCTGTGTGCTTAAAAATATCTCTGACTATAAACATAATATTCAAGAGAAAGCAGGACTCCAGAATGAATTTATTATTAGATTGTCATATTTGCAAAAGAAAAAGTGGTTTTTTTTCTGTTGTGTAGTGTGCAAAATATTTATTGGGGGGGTTGTTGTTGCTGTTGGGGTGATGTTTTGTGATTTTTTTCAGCATACATAATTTTGAACACCACTCAAGCTTCATTTTTCATTTTCTCATTTTATTGTAATGATGAATTTTATGGGAAAGCCACAAAGCAAAGCAAAAGGAAACAAAAACTAGATGATGTGTTATTATATATGGAGTTTCATCTCTGGCCAGATGAGATTGATGGACCTGACTGTGGTTTGTGTATTACTCTCCCTTGCTAACCAGAAATGAAACATCATGTGTCTCAACTTATACTTTATTGTTTTTAATTTGTAAGCTATCTTTGGATAGGACAGAGAATCATATTTATTTTATAAATATGGACCCTGACTAATCTAAGTGTTTGATGAAACACTTCACATTAAATAATTAGTCAACGAATGAGAACAGGTCATCTGGGCCTAAAGAACAAATGACACACAGAGAGAAATTAAAGACTATAGGTAGATCTTAAATCATCACCAAGGCAGAAATACTGCTATGCTAGAATTTTGAATAGTAAAGAAAACTAAAAAACTAATATAAAAAAATCATCTTTCTTGAAAATCCACAAATAACAGTTGGCTAGTCAACTTCAGCAAACTTATATTCTTAAATCCCATGGCTTTCTCCTAGTTTTGCCTGTAGATCCATAGTGAGGTCTTGAAAAAGCACAATCATATGGAAGCTTAAATACAGAAATTTGCATACAGCAAACATTTTTACAGAATGAAAATTGTCATCCTTGCAAGTTTGAGAATGAGAGAATCATCAAGGTTGGAAAAAATTCAACAGACCTTCCAAGATGATAAGTCAACAGCTGCCATCAAATATCTAGTTTGTGTCTAGGGTTTGACTGAAAAAGAAAGTTGTCTTCTATGGATATAATATGATGAGAACAGTTGAAAAGAAGAACTAGGACAAGTAGAAATGAAGTGAGGAAAAATATGAATAGGACCTTAAAGGAACTTGCAAAAATGGATTTTTTTTTATCTTGTGAGATGCAGCAATGCCAATGGGAAGAACAATTAAATGGAGGCTAGTGCTGAGTGCCAAAGAAATAATTTTTAAGGACTTTTCTCTTTTTCACTGAGCATAAGAGAAAGATATAAATGATACAACCCTTGGGCTCATGAGCTTGGCAAACCCTGTTAATTTTTCTGTAAAGACAGTCTTACTTTGCCAAACAGATTTCACCAAGTTTTCACATCTCTTTCTAAAGCACTCCAGACAACAGGAAACCACAATTGAACAAAAAAAAAAATAGATATAAATAATAAAGAAAAATATAAATAAACATTTAACCAAAACAGGAGTGGTAGGAATCACAGATAAACTGAGGACTTGTTGATGGAGGAATTCTTATAAGTAATAAGCAAATAAGTAATGCACTTTCTGTTTTCCTCTTTGCATCATTAATTTGTAGTAAAACATGAATTTTGTGAAGAACTGCTGTGCAGTCTAGATCCAAATTGTTATTTTTGAGTGTAATGATTTTTCTCCCTGCTGACCTCTTCCATTTAACAAGGCAGTGCTTTGTCTTTTAGATTTACAGAATAAAGGTGTGATGAGAACAGACAAGTTGAAGATACCGGAAGAGTCCACAGGTGAAGGAACAGAGGTCGGTAGCATCAGAAACGAGACATTATTACTCTGACAGCCCAAACAAAGTTTGCAGTTGTTTTGCTGTTGATGTGTAGGCAGTAGACCAGAGAAGGAAATCCATTTGCATTATCCAGAAGAGGGATACAAACTCAATGGCTGAAACTTTCTGTCACTGTGCAGTGACTGAACTCCTAAACGGAGGAAGTCAGCAAGAGCTTCTCAACCTTTTTATTTTACCATTGCTCAGCCAAACCACTCTATGAGTGTTCTGATAAGCTCAGTTAAAGTGGCATTCACATTGTTCAAGGTGAAACTACCAACGTCAGCATTATTTTCTCTTTTCTGCCTTCTTTGTTATGTTACATCATTAATTCTCTTTCCAGAGCTTTCAAAAGCAGACTGGAGCATGTCACATCAGGCATTCTGTGGCACATGGTGTATCTGAGCAGAATTCACCATTCTCTGCTTCCTTGTGACTAACATTTTATCTCAAGATTCCTATTGTAAGCATCCTTTCTGACCCTCCAAAAGTAATCAGAAAGATTTGTCCACTCCCATTAGGCCTGGAAGGAGGGAAATAACAGCATTAGAAGTCAATTATGGGGGGAAAGAGGAATGGAATCAAAAATTGCTGGTTTCATTAGTGTCTTCTTGTAAAAAGAGAAAAGCTACTATCTAAAATTGTTAATACAGAAATAGACAAGGAATGATGCCATACATCAAATGGTATTGCTTACAACTACATATGAACAATGCTGCTAATAAAATAAACCTGAATAAAACCCTTTCATGGGTTATTCAGATAAAAAGGCCAGATTCACTGAAGCTTAAAAAAAGAAGACAGAGTAAAAGGCTCTTTTCCAAGAAAAAGAGATTGAGAATGATGCTTTACTTGTCTTCACAAGACAGCAGAGCAATGATTTGATATGGAAAGTGTTTCATCTGGAACAGAACTTCTTCAGAAAAGCAAAGGTTTTTAATTGCACTGTAGAGTCTATCTAGTGAAGAGCAGGCAAGTTTAAGAGACTGTGTCGACACTAAAAAGTAACTTATGGAAAGGAAAAATCTGAAAGCAATTTAAAGAGATTTAAAAAAACAAATTGTTCTCTATTCAGGCTACTCTTCTCAAAACTGAAGGCTCATAATTCTTTCATCCTTCATATTAATTACCATGCAGATTAATTTAAATTGTGCTGATTAGCTATTAACACCAGAGTGATGGACCCCTATGTGCCACAAAGGCACCAGTGGAGCTCTCATTAGTCCTGCCTTCAGCTTTTCCCTGTGCAATGCTATCAGCTATTGAAAGGTATAATTATTTGTACCTATCTGCACTTCAAGTTCATCTTGGTCTCTGCTCTGGATAGCTTACAAAGAGTTAAAATTTCTGAAGAAAAACATTGAGATTATTAAAACACTTTCTTATAGAAATTATTCAAAAAAATGAGACCTATTGTAAAATATAAGGATTAATTTATTAATCAGAGCTTTCTGAACTCTCACATTAAGCAGCTTTGTTATGCTAATTCCCTTATAAATGAATAATGGACTTATTCTCCCATTATTGCCTATCATTTTAAAAGACCCATTTAGAAAATGAAGATGTCCTTTTCACTTGAAAATTATTATGTGTTTTATAGCACAAGTTTTTAAAATTGAATATTTGCTCCCTATACGCTTCTGTTCCCCCCTGCCCTGCTTGTTCTCCTCAGTCAATGTTGGAATCAAACACAGCCATAACCATTTGTCACAGATACATAGTGTGTGGATAGAAAGCACAATGGAGACAATGGGTTTTGAGAACAGAGGCCCAAATCTACAAAGCTATTTACTTCTGACAAATTTATATGTAGCCATAGTTCCTAGACATTTTAAATAAAATTCTGTTGTGAGTAATGACATAAAAGAAGAAAGCCAAGATGGTGCAGCTGTATAAAGCCAGAAAGTTAAGTCACAACATAGGATAAATGTTGAAAAGAAAAAATATCTTTACTAGAAGACCTTCGTTTTGCTGCACACTTTCCACACGCCTTGAAGAGTTCATCTGCTCTTGATTGTGTATATATGCACTGTCAGTCAAGTTCAAAGCTATGCAGCAATTAAACTTACATTGTCAGGACCCTTATAAGAGTTCTAGTACTTTCTGGGGAAAGGTCCTGGCTAGATTGTTGCCTTGATATGTGTTTTCACTTGTGCACTACTCAGGAATCAGAGGGAGAGGAGGGAAGGAAGAGGGTGAAAGGGGTTTGAACACACTGCAAACAGCTGGCAAGTAAACACCCTGATATTATTGTGTGCTAAGCACACAAGACATATTGCTTTTGGGACAATTGGCATCCCTGGCTAAGGAACACCAGGTCCTTTGGTCCCAGGTCATGGCTAATACAGCTTCTGGAGAAAAAAGCCTTGGAGTAAAGGGACAGAATCCCCTCTCTCACCCTGCCCTCATTGGTTTTGATGCAGCCCAAGACACATTTGGCTTTCTGAACTGCAGGAGCACATTGCTGGGTCATGTTCAGCCACCAGCACCCCCAAGTTCTTCTCAGCTGGGCTGCCCTCAATCTGTTCATCCCCCAGGCTGTGTTGATACTGGGGGTTGCCCCAGCCCAGGTGCAGGACCTTACACTACCTTATTAAACCTCATGAGACTCTCCTGTGCCCACTTCTGGAGCTTGTCCAGGTTCTTTTGGATGGCATCCCATCCATCAGGTGTGTCAACAGGACCACTCAACTTGGTGTCATCTACAAAATTGTTGAGGGTGACCCTTTCACCTGTTATTAATGAAGCTATTAAATAATACTGGTTACTATATGGACCCCTTAGGACACCAGTTGTGACTGATGTCCTTCAGGGCTCTGAGCCATTGACCACTGCACTCTGGATGTGACTGTTCAACAAATTCCTTATCAATCTAACAGTCCACCCATCAAAACCATCTCTCTTCAGTTTAGAGAGAAGGATGTTTGTAGGGAACTGTGTCAGAGGTTGTACAGTAGTCCAGATAAACATAATTTGCAGCTTTTTCCTTATCCTCTGATGTAGTCCCTCCACTATAGGAAGCCACAGGGTTGTTAAGGCAGGACTTGCCCTTGATGATGTGGAGGCTTGAAAAAAAACCTATTACAAAGTCTCTTCAAACCAACACAGGTGTTCTGAGTTTTTTGTACCTGTGAACTCTTAGACCTTGCAAAGGCAACTTTGGCTTGATTGTGGAAGAAATGTGAACAGTTCATTCGTTCATTCTCTGTTGCTAAAGCAAGTGAAAACACAAAACAAGTAGGGATAGCTCAGACGAGAGTACTTGCTGGACCTTGTTTTGTCTCACAGGTTATGATCCATAATGTTGTGCAGTTCAGTGGTTAAATCTTAGAGAGAATTAGAGTTGGAAGAACACAGGTCTCTTCCAGACTCTGGTGTTGCTTAGTTGCCTTTCTCTCTGCTTCACCCACCAGCTGGATAATGGCTGAGTTCACAGGCATTTGAGAAGAGTTGTAATTTTTAGCTTAGTCTGCTGGGTGAACACACAAAAAAATAAATTCTCTTTTAAGCCCAAATGGAAACTCTCATACAAATTTAATTCAAAATTACAGGGTCTGCCTAATGTCAGGAAAGGATAGGTCTTTAGAAAATAAGTGTAGCTCCTTACTTGGGTTTGGAAGAGACTAAGAGACTCTCTGGGAGAAGTGTACTTTGTTCCCATTGGTTGCCAAATTTAGATGGGATTTAGAGGACCAAGCATATACTATAGTAGATTCTTCATAAAGCAGACACAGTAAGCAATAGATACCTCCAGAAAGTTGGGACAGAGGAAGAAGCATGGAGTTTAGAGAACTGCATTACAACCTAAAGTAGATGGCATGGCTGTTTTCCTTCATTTTCATTGATGCTATAGACACTTAGAACTCCTCTGCCAGAACCCACAAAACATGCATAATTGAATTCTCTTCAGGTGAGGAGAAGAGGGAAAAATGTCCTTCAAAATAATTCTGCATCTGCCTTTTAGGCTGTTCCATTTTACATGTAATCCTTCAGCTGCCAATTTTCTTCCCTCTTGCCCAGAAATACTTACCTGCGCTTTTTCCCTTAACCCTGTGGGCACCCATTATTAGTAGATTTGAGCACACTGTTCTTACAGTATTCCAAGACTGGAAATTTGCTTGAAATCATCTCTGCTCCCTGCTGAGAAGGTTGTGGGAGAGCCACCATTAGCCATTTGACCACTTGTTAAACCTTCATAAAATGAAATGGTGGAACAAACTGGGCCACACTAAAAATAGAAAAAAAAAAAATCTATTAGAATTATTTGAAATTAGAAAAATTGACCCTGTACTTTGTACTACAGGGCTTTCTAAATGCTGGACGTCATCTTATGGGGGACTTGTAACAGGAAGAGAGCCAAGCATTTGATTTTTATCAAAGAGTTATGAAACCCACATATTTCCTAGGCAATTGTCTGAAAATAATCCTAGGTTTCTGATAGTCTTGTGCCCTTTCCTAATGTCCTTGTTTGTTTTAACACTGCCGGTGTCTACTTTCCTTCATGGAAGTTAAAAGTATTCATGTATTTTCCTGCCTGCTGTTCATCTGGCTTTAAAATAAATAAATAAACCTCAATTATTTTTTATAAGCAGGTGTTCTTGCTTATAAGTATCAAATAAAGTACCTATCAATTCACATTTTTGTAACAGAAAAAAGAAAAAAATTGAAAAAACATAGTGACAAAATGCTATGGTATTGGTGGGTTTGGAAATGGGGGATTTGAATTTGTGGATTTTGTGAGCTCTGAAGAACAATAGAGAGAGATATAATTTTCAAAACCCCGATATGGTTGCCGTGCCTTTTAAGCCCCCACCATGTGCTTTTAAAGGCATAAATAATACTTAATGATCACCTGCAGAGCTGGAGTTGTGCTTTAAATTACTGAGGATTTTCAAGGGTTTGATGGATGCACTCAATCCCTGCAATCAAACCAGCAGGAGTTGGTAGAATTGCCAATGGAGGCAAAGGCCTGAGTCATAGCTGGGCCCAGAACTCCTCCAGGGAACCCAGAGTGGAGCAGGGGGACCCAGTGAGCATCCATGCATATGAGCTTGGACACAGATCATGCAATTAACACATGAACAGTGTGTGTGTTTTCCAAGATTTCAAGGAGCAAAGGAAGTTGTCAGCACAAGGAATCCCATGCAAACCTGTCCCATTGTATACAACTTAACCCGGGAACCCTTTTACCCCATAAATATAACAGCTTAAGTGAGCTTTTTTTAGGATGTCCGGGCTAGACCATGTGGCTGCAAGGAAATGATCTGTTGAGCTGGGATTCCTCCCAGGTTTCCTCCTTGTGGCAGATGTACCCTTCTACTAACGTCAGATCTTTGCATGAATCCAACTTGAGTTCTCTCTATAAATTGCAACTGGACTGCATTCCAGATACTCTCACCAGGAGCTGGGCTGCCTATCAAGGTTTGAGATTCCTTACCTGATACTGAGATCCATCCTTGCTCAAGGATTGGAGAGACCCCCAATAAGAACACTTGCTAACAGCATGGTAAATTTATGGTAATGAACTCCATGTAGCTAATCTCTTTAGACTTAAACCACTGATCGAGTCAGTCTATGACTGGACCTAGACACACCTAGGTTCCATAAGTTCAAAAAGCAGGGAAGTCCACTCTAAACCTTATGAGTCAGTGGAAGGGTCTCCCTTATCCCTTAGAATCTTCAGTCTCTCTGTAAATATTTTTAAATACATTCCAATTTGATTTTTCTTTGCATGTTTCATTCACGTAGCAAGCAATAAAGTGAACCTTGCCATCAAAATTTGTTGCAGTGCATTTCTGTATATTCTGTATATTTCTATATATGGTATTAATTCTAGAAATCCAATGATATTAAAACCAATTTTGCTAATAATTTTGATGGTAATTATTTAAGCAACCTTAAATTGTTCATTTGTGATGTAAAGGAAAGAACAGTGAAGACAACATGTGTGAACTGAAACATAGTTCAAGAGAAGCTGAAAGAGTTTGTAATTGGATAGGCAATGTAGCCAGGAAGCCTCACATTCTCCTGAATGCTACAACAAAAATACAATATTATGAAGTTAAAGTTTCTTTTTCTTTTTTTGGTAAACTTTAATTTGCACCTACAATTTTCAGGCAAGATTTATCCCAAAGCCTTCTAGCTGTGATTTAAAGCCTTTTTTTCTTTTTATTGTTTTTATTTCTTTCCCAGCTTTCAGAATAGATTTCTATTTCTGTTAACTTTTTTCTTTTTTACTTTATTTATTCTTTTTTTTTTTTTTTTTTTTTAGCATTTTGTCATTATTTTCTTTTCCTCCCCCTCCACACATTAAAGATGAATGTATTTAAGGACTCTTCAGTCATACAGAAAGACAGTCCACTGTGACAAGTTGTGTTTCATTTCTATCTATTATATTTTTCATCTAAAAGTATGAACCTTTCACATCTCCATTTTCCCATTTTCCCATTTCATTATGTGAAATGTATTTCCACCTGCTGGACACAGGACACTGCCAGCATCTGAGTCTGAATTCTTTCTGGATCAAACAACTTAAACAAGGTTGTTTAAGTCAGCAAAACAAGAAGAAAAAGGAAAATCTTTATTTCTGGACCTATTTAGAAGGCCAGACATTTAACACATATTTATTTAGTAAACAGATAAAAATAATAGTTTATAACAAATAGATCTGTAAGTACTGACTTCCACATGAAGCTCAGAACTACATGTTTTTTAAACTGCTAGAGTTATTATGAATATTAGAGATGGATGACCTGTACTTTTCTCTCTGCTTTTCTTCACAGTTCATCTCTGCTGGATTTCTCTTCTTGTGATGAAATCATAATGTTTTACAATGACAAGCCAGTGTAATTATCATGCTATGAAAACAAACCATAGTAAAAAGTGAAATGGGCAAAGAGAAGAAAATACTCTGTATACTTGACTGCTGTCAAATTAAAATGATGTTGTACAAGACTTTCCCAGTATGAGAATGATCTTCCTTAAATAAATGCGCTCATTTTAACTTCTGTTGTGAATCAGAAATACTATTATGCTTTTATTTACTGGCTCCTGAGAAACCTTAAAAATCTTAAATTGAGATAAATTCTTATTCTGCTGCATCCACTGTATATTTTGTTTATCAACAAATAATGGCACAAAATCCTTTTGTATGAAGGCTTCATTCTATGCAGGATACTAAAGCACACAGACTTTCAAAGTATAGCAATCCTGTAATAATTTGCAGCTACAGAAAAAAGGGTATGAATACCTTGAAAACAGACAGTAAATATGAATGATCTTACTCATTTATTATTTATAACATTTTGCAGAATGGAATAATATTTTGGAAAAATTGAGAGTTTGGGGGGAAAAAAGGGAAAGCTATTTATAGCAATTGTAATTATCCCCCAAGTAATTTGCTCATTTTAACTGTTTGTACATTACATAAAATCTGGCTTTCACCTGTTCCTTTACTACCTAAATATTCTTTTCAACACCAAGGGCAGATCTATCCATCTAGATTTACATATCATTGAAATATTCAGAAACCTCAATTCAGTCTTCCTCCCTAGGTGCAGATACACATCAAGCAAGAGGGGCCTTTGGGTCTATCTTGACAGGACACTGTTGAAGAGAAGTCAGACAGCTTGTGAAAACTTTCTGATTTTTTCAGTTTTTCAGCTAAATTAATAGTACTTTGAGACTACTAGTCTCATAGGAAACCATTGGATATGACAGCTCAATATGGACATCTGGATTAAATATTTGCACATACATAAGACCAGGATAAAATTTCCTTTATTTGTAAAAGATCCAAGATTTCACCTTTGTGGAGGAAAACTGTTGTGGCAATGTGTTTCCTGCTATCTGTCCAACTAATGTGGTACAGTTCAAGGAATTTTTGTCTTTTGAATGCAACAAATGTCAAGATATGAGGTTTCTTATAAAAAAATCACTCAAGGCAGGATTTGCAAACACAAAGAACAAGCACAATTTAAGATCTGTGCCCTTTTCTGAATCTATTTTCAACTTTGAGCTTCTCTATTTGTTTTTTATTAAGTTTAGACATTTTCTTATGGGGATTGCCATCAATTAGATACCCAGTGTAAATTTTAATCAGATCAGATGAGAAAACAATGTACATTGTCATAAAATAGGTGATTATGCCTCACACACTCCCTGGTTATTTCTTTGTAATTGGTTAACAAATGGCCATAGCAGATGATGAAATAAAAAATAATTCTCTGTACATATATTGTAATTTTAATCTTCAGTGTGTTATACAAATTAGTTAACCAGTACAACAACCCTTCTAATTCCATTATTTTTCCTGAAGCACATACTGATGAAAGGTAGTGCCAACACATAGCTGACTTGCACCAGGCATATGGTCTGTATTGGTGTTAACTAAGATGAGTATAAAATGATTCAAAGATGTAGTGTAAAGTTAGCTGACTAAAAATTAAGTGTGTTATTTTTGGTTTGGTTTGGTTTTGTGGGGTTTTCTTTTTCCTTCCCTTTTTTTTTTTTTTATTTTTTTTTTTATTTCAGTGTATCTAATAAAAATATCTGGGAAAATGATTATGAAGCAAGGGCATTCATGTAGTTTATGGAATGCAGCATGCAGACTTGATGTTAGTGTTCCAAACAGAAATCATTAGCTTGTTAATAACTTTTGAAAACTTAACTCTTTTTGCCTATATCTTTTCTACAAACCTTGTCAGTTCTAACCAGGTCTAAACTCTGGTAAGTACTAACATCTGGCAGGATGATGATTTTTCTTTTCATTTGGCTACGCTGTTGTGGTTTAACTCCATCTGGGAACTAAACTCCACCTAGCTGCTCACTCAGTCTTCTTGGTGAGAAGGAAGAGAGAACAAGAACAGTAAAAGTGAGAAAATTCATGGTTTGAGACAATGTACTTTAATAAGAAAAGCAGAAGCCATTCAAGGAAAAAAATAAAACAAAAAGAATTAATTAACCACTTCCCATGGTTAGTCAAGTGTTTAGCTATCACCAGGAAAACCAGGCTCCACCATCCATAACTGTTCGTTGGGATGACAAACATCATCAGTCCAAATGTCCACCCTTTTCTCCTTCTTTCTCCAGCTCTCTATGCTGGACACGATGCCATATGGTATGGAATGTCCCATGGGTCAGTTGGTATCAGCTGTCCTCATTGTGTCTCCTCCCAGTTCCTTGTGCACTCCCAGGCTGCTCACTAGTGAGATGGGCTGAGGAAGAGAAAAGGCTTTGACTCTGTGCAAGCTCTGCTCAGCAATGAGGAGCACATCCCTGCGTTATCAACACTTTGCTCAGAAATCCAAAGCACAGCCCCATATCTATAGGGCTACTATGAAGAAAATTAGCCCAGCATGAACCAGTACAAACTTTAAGTTAGAGCTGAGCTTCCTTGTGTATTCGCTCATTTATGCTGTTCCCTTCAAGCTATTGGAAGGCAAAAAGTCACTGTAGTGGTCAGAATTGCTGTATCATCAATAACATGGGAAAAACAGACTTGTTCTCACATAAAACTCCTTTTGATGTCACTGAAACATAGTTTGGACCTTAACTGACTGATGTATGCGGAACTGCAGCTATCAACCTTATGCGACTACAAGAACACCAGAAAACTTAAGGGTCAAATTCACCAATAGGTTCTGATTGTTTTGCATTGATACAGCAATAAAAAAGAAAGATGAAGATGGCTTTGTAACCAGCTAGTTAAAACAATTTTCTTCACTGAGTCTGAGACCAGATAGTCTTGCTGTAATCATAAGTTTGACCTTCTGTACCACACACATGCCTTTGAATTTTTTGAAGTGACTCCATATCAAACCTGTTACAGTTTCTGCTGCACATTTACTAAAGAAGCACATACAGGTCAAACTGATCCAGATAATAGTGTGAGGTGTATGAACAGTAATTTAACTCATTCTGTTCAGATTATATTTGCCCTGTGTGTAGCTGTGCAGTGCAACTGCAGATTCTAAGTTATGACTTTCATGTTTAGTGCTAGTTTGAAACAGTGCGATCAAAACTAGAAGTTCTTCTAAAGCATATATCTCTTTTTAACTTTCTATCTGAGTGAAAGACAGTAGGTTTACGTTAGAGACTAAGAAAAAACTGTTTACTGTGTGGGCACTGGAACAGGTTGCCCCATCCCTGGAAGCATTCAAGGCCAGGATGGATGGAGCTGTGATCAGCTTGGTCTATTTAAAAGTGCCCCTGCCCATGGCAGGGCGTTTGGAACAGGATGATCTTAAAGGCCCCTTTTAACCCAGAGCATTCTGTATGTAATTTTGTGATCATATAATAGTGTGTAAAAGATATTCGTATTAGTAGCACCACTTTGTTGGTGAAGAAATTGTCGCATCAGAGGATTCAGCCTTTTCTGAAAGCCCTGATTTCAAACTCACCTGCTAGCAGTGCAGCATTCCAAGCTGTCTAAACACATGAAAATGCTGCTCCTGAAGCTGCATAGCTCTATAAGGTTGTGTCAGCTATTTCCAGTCCTTTGTAGGGTGCAGTCTTGTTACCATGATCACAGTCCCCTGCTAACAGACATGTCTCGGGAAATTTGGGACAGACGCTGTTTTCCAGCCTGCAGTGATTTACATAGACACAGTTGCATTTTCCACAGGAATGGAATGGAAGTTTTACCAGTTAATCTCCTGTTTCATCTTTAAACCCTCATATTTGTCAAAATCAAAACTTCTAGGCACAGTCTGGATGTGAATCAGTCAAAACTGTCTCTCTCCCTGGAGCTTTGAATACAAGTATGATACTTCATTTCCTATTTCAACCCTTTTCATGTTTTACTGATATTCTGTGTGGGAAATGCCAGTGTCTAAGTAATGATGACATGATGAAAAAAACCCAATAAAATAAAAAGTTTCCAGATGATGTTTTATTATACCATTAAATGTACTAGAATTGAAGGTAGTAATGTAAGATGAAAAGCTGTTGAAAACTGAACCAACAGAATCCACCAGATACACTCACTTTGCATTTTTTTTCTTTTCATTAAAATCTGTGCAAGTCTTGTGAGTCTTCAGTAATTTCCACTTTCTGTAATTTATGTGGTGTTTTTCTTATATTTACAATTTGGGCTACCAAATTTGCCATAAAGAACTTCAGTGAGAGTGCAACATCTGTTCTGAATTTGACACATTCTAACCAGTTCTTCAGCTGGTTTGCAGACAACACAGAGAGGGAAGGGATTACTCTAATCTTGCTTACAAATGAAATAAACATTTCTGTGTAAGGAATTCTGGCTTACATGTCTCTGACAGTTATATAGGCATATAAATTAAGCAGAGTCTACCATAACATTTCCATTTTTCTAATCCATCTGGTTAGCACTTCTTGATTTATAGGTTTGGTTAACTAAGCACCATTGAAATATATGTCTTCTAATGACAGTTTCATTGTTCTTTAAGCTTAATTAATTAGCTATCTTTAGGGATATGAGTAAGGAATCATACCTTTCTGAGATTTTTTTTTAATTTGATTTCTTCCCATAAGGAAGTTCATAAAAGTCCTGAAAAATCTCCATCAGTTCCCATTCAATAATGGGACTGTACAATGGCAGATCTAGTTGTAGGGACACTTACTGAATTGTTTACTAATTGTTTACTAATTGTTTACTAATGCCTGTAAAATGTATGGCACTATAGTCTTCCCTTCTATGAACACCTGAAGAGGTGGTAGAACAGATTTTCCTGCCATGAAAATTCATTTTCAAGATGTTATAGGATTGAAATTCAATATATCTAAAAAGCAAATTATCTCTCTATCTATCTATCTATCTATCTATCTATCTATCTATCTATCTATCTATCTATCTCTCTAATCTAATCTAATCTGAACTGTCATACATGTACTGCTTGGTTCAGAAATAATTAATAAATACATTTGATATATACATAAATTATTCATATATAATGACATTAAACAGGTGTCCAGAAGGAATTCTGCTATTAAAATACAAGCAGAAAGGAAGTTAGATGAATGCATAGCAAGC